GTTGTCAGGAGGAGCAGGGATGAGGCAGACAGGACGTTGGTCCCCCTCCGTAGCCAGGGGACCACAGTCCGAGGGTGCGCTGCAGGGTTCTCGTTCCGTGACTGCTCTTGCAGGCAAGCAGACGTATTTGGGCTTCTGAAAAAACAAATACAGAAGAGAAGGGAATAAATTTAGTTGAATATTATGAAAAGTATGAACCTAATCAACGCGGTGATAGAAAGACAAAAACCATAGCCACACCCTAAAATTATGAAGAGTAAATGGCGTCTGAATTCGATATTCACATGTTGGAGAAACAAGGGGCGAATAGAGGCGTCGGTGACGAGGCGAAAAGTTGCATAAAGTGGGAAAACTATATTGCGCAGCAAGACGCATACAAGGTAGATTTAAACAGGTTTCTGAAACGCAATTGCCTACAATGACAAAATTGGTAAAAATGTCGGTAAAACTCCTAAGGGCATCCGCTGAAGTGGTCATGTATACGCAATAGAGTCCATAGAAGCATCTTTATGGTCGAGTTAAACGTTGCAGAAAATGTTCATACTCGTTTAATATAGTGGATGGCGTATCTATTCAAATGTTAACAGAAAATCGTAACTCTGTTTTCGGTTAGAAAACGTTACTTGGGGAGGGTTTTAATATTGCTTATCATGGTGGATAACCCCCAGATACCTCAGTCGCGCCGAGATGCCATGTGCGGAAACCCCACTTCAGTAATACGTTTATTTTCTAATTATTTTCAACGCCCTTATAAATTGTTCGATATTTAATAGAAGACATGCACAAAATGATCCTTCCTCGTACTTATTTGACAGAGCTGCCAAAAAATGTATAAAAATTTTGCGTGTACTTGACATTCCGGGAATCACAAAGCTTTGTATTAAAATCAACATCGTGAAAAGGTAACTGGCCTTAACTCTGCTAAGATAGCAGGATTTGCACACAGTTATTAGGATCTGCAGCTGCCGCTGGGCCGCTCAGTTTCGATTTGAACGGCAAGCAAAGTGCTTTTCTGTAAAGCAAACTGGTTAGGTCTGACAATGAAGCGGGGGTCTGTACCTGAGGCCTTGCATTCCACCAAATACCCAAAGCAAAAGATGAAAACTTCTACGAGAAAAAAAAGACAACCAAAA